ACTTGAGTCAAAGGACCAAAATACATAGCTACAAAGTCAATGGGCTTGGTCACATAAGGGTTCTTAATTTCGGGCATACACAATTTTTCCCCTCTTATTTTTATTTTGTAAATAACAATCATTAACTTTTTGAAAGAAATTAAAAGAGAGAAGGAAGGAGAAGGGATTTTGATCTTCTCCACTATCAAAAAAATTAGTAGAGAGATTACTATATTATATAATCACAATCAATAATTTAGGTATATAGGAGGTAGTTAATGATTCATTCTGTATCTAATAAGGAATAACAGTGTCTAAACGAGTATGAGTCTAAAATGGTTCGGGATGTAAATGGACTCCATTGAAATGACCATGCGCAAACAAAATGGGCATGTGTAAACGCAAGGGTGCACGTTATAACCACAACAAGAGGATATGTAGTTTGCAACAACTTATGAGATTTAGGGACTCCATATCAATTTCAATGATGTGAAGGACTCATTTAACAATACTAACCTACGATTCCACTTCACTAAGGGCCCGTTTGGTTGGTTTCCTAAAAACTAAGAAAAGGAAACTGGTACAAGGAAATCAATAAAATAATATTTTTATCCATTTTCATCCCTAAAACTCACTCATAACATCCAATAAAATAATATTTTTATCCTCCAACTCATCTCATTTCATCTCCTTTCTTACCTTTAAGGGCCTGTTTGGTTATTTCCTAAAAAACCAAAAAATAGAAATGAAAATCAAGAAATCTCAAAAAGTACAATTTCACACATTTTCATTCCTAAAACTCACCCACAACATCTAATAAAATATTATTTTTATCCAACAACTCATTCACCATATCTAATAAAATATTATTTTCATCCAACAACTCATTCATCACATCCACCACATCTAATAAAATATTATTTTCATCCACAACATCACTCAACTCATCTCATCTCATATTTAAAAATCACTCACATCATCCAATAAGATTGTGACAACTCATCTCATCTCATTAACATTTCATTTCTTTGTTTTCCTCTCAAAAAGCTAGGAAAACAATTTCCTTAAGTGTGGGTCACATCATCCAATAATATAATGACAACTCATCTCATCTTATCTATTTTCTTATTTTTAATGATGAACCAAACAAAAGAAAACAACCTATTACAAGAAATAGTTTTCTTATAATTCATTTCCTTATTTTTTTTCCGCCAACCAAACAACATCAAAATAAGTTTTCTTAAAAAATCACTCACATCATCCTATAATAAGGTGACAACTCATCTCATCTCATCTCCATTTCTTTGATTTTCTTCTTTTTTTTAGCCAACCAAACAATTCCAAAACCTATTTTTCTTAGAAATAGGTTTCCTTTTCTTTGATTTCCCTCTTTTTTTAGGCAAACAAACAGCCCCTAAAAATAAACCAAACACAAGAGATGCGTCACATCATCCAACTCATCACATCTCATCTTATCTCATTTTTAAAAATCACAAACATCATCCAATAATATTTCTCATTTTTAAAAATCACAAACATCATCCAATAATATTGTGACAACTCATCTCATCTCATTAAACCTTTATTTCCATCCATTTCCTCAAAACCAATAATATTGTGACAACTCATCTCATCTCATTAAACCTTTATTTCCATCCATTTCCTCAAAAAAAAACAAGAAATTGATTTCTTTAAGTATGTGTCACATCATCCAATAATATACCTCGAACTCATCTCATCTCATCTATTTTCTTATTTTTAAAAATGAACCAAACGCAAACAACCTCAAAACATCATCCAATAATATACCTCTAATTCATTTTCTTATTTTTTTTAACCAACCAAAGAACCTCAAAACAAGTTTTTTTTTAAAAATCACTCACATCATCCAATAATAAGGTGACAACTCATCTCATCTCATCTACTATTCCATAGTTTCCTTCTTTTTTAAGCCAACCAAACAACCTCAAAATAATTATTAGGGTCTGTTTGGCTATTTCCCCCCAAAAAAGGAAATGGAAATATCACATTTCAAATGCTTTTATGACATTTCAAGACATTTCACAGTTTTCTTTTCTTTTGTTTGTTTCGCAAAGAAAACCCCCCTTTTTACTGCCAAGTCACACAAAAAACAAAAAAAACCTCCATAGTAACAGTGTTGGACATTTCCATTTCTTTTATTTGTTTGAGAACAAAAAAAATGAAAAGAGAGAAAACCAATTTAAATAATATGTTTTATTCTTCATAACCTCATAAACAGTGCTTTTACTAATTAATAATTCTCAGATGGGACATTTCCAAGTGTTTTCAGCCCATTTTGTTATGAAAACACATTTCTTGAAAATGTGAGGTGGCATCCTACGTGTCACTTTATTTCTTGAAAATTAAAAACGAAACAAACACTTGAAATGGAAACCTCTTGAAAACAAAAACTCATGTGGCATATGGGACATTTCTTGAAAGTTGATGTGACAACACATTTCTCATTTTTTTTTAGCAAACAAACAGAGCCTCATAGGAAATAGATTTTCTATTCTTTGATTTCCCCATTCTTTTTTCGAAACCAACAGCCCCTAAGCGCACGTTAGCACGTGCCCTAACAACTATAAAATCGCGTCCTCCGGCTCTCCCCCTCCTCACCCGCGATTTGAAAATCCCATTTCCCAAACCCCACGACTTTTCCCTGCTCAATCCCAATTCAAAACCCTAGAAAACTTCAATCTTCTCTGTCTTAATCCCCAGATCGATTTCGAGCTCTCTTGCTACGATCTCGAATTCGGTTTCAGCTACGGCATCGATCACCTCTCATTCGACTCTGCAATCACAGATTTCCTCTCTCTACGTCACCGCTGAACTCTCCGACGAGATCGAATCGAGGTGATCCATCGATTCCACCGATGTTTTGGTTTGTAAAATTCTGATCGAGCAGTGTTCACTCTCACTTGTTTTTGTCATTTTCCGCTTCTAGTTTTTCTGCAGAGAGTATCGGGTTCTCTTTGTGGTGAGGAATTTTAGGTCTAATTTCCCTGAAACTGGAGTTCACCACATAAATTTTCGGTATTGTTTTTGTTTTTCTAATTTTTAAAATTATTTTTAGATTCTTTTAATTGGTAATGCAAGTGAATGGATGACTGGACTCCAATATCAAATATTGGAGGTGGGTTTAACTTGATAATTGGAGAACCTCTGTTGAATTCTTTAGGGTATCGGACCAACCCAGATTCAAATCCCACGATCAACGAATTTAAACCGGGTTTTCTAAAAATTGGCGCTGCTGCGTGAGTCCAGGTTCCGGCCTATACAAAGGACGCTTATCCTAGAGGGGCATGTTAGAATATAATATATAGCCCTCAACTCTCACCACAACTTAGGAGTTAATGCTTAGAGAGGCTTAATTTAAGAATGATGTAGTTAAAGTTTGTTTTTTCTTCACATTAAGTGGATAAAATTGTTGCTCATTTGTGTTTCTGTTAACAACGGTATTGAACGTGCTCGAGTGAAGTAGAGGAAGCAGCAATGTGCTTCGAAGTTCCTTGCATTAAAATCCCTTTGGTACAAAGTCTTTAGATAATATGTCTCCTCTCCTTACTATCTTCCTGAATGATCTCAGTCAGAATTTTGATATTGTCACCAGAAATGCTATGCAATAAAGAGAAAACTGGGTTATTGAGCAGGTACCTTTGGGCAATTACATTTTCATGTGCTCTAAATGTATCTGTAAATTTACCGTGGAAAATTTCAAAGTTGAATTTGTTGCTTTTGTAGTTTAGTAGATAGTTCAATACATCTGATTCTTCCTGGGTGCTGGTATTTATCGAGGGTTTTATGAAAATTAGCCTTATTTTTATGTCCCCTAGTTAAAGTTTTTATATGCCTAATATTTGCTAACATGTACGGGGCTGTAAGAATCATGTTGTGCAGTAAAGATCATCTTAATTGTTTATCTATGAAGTTTGATACTTGATAGTTCACTACCTAATAAAATTCAGAACATACTATCAATTGTCCCTGAATTTGTGGTTAACGGCACGGCCTTGGGGATTGAAGGAACTTCATCCATTGAACAGGCATTCAGTTCTTTTCTTCCTAGTGTAGAACTCCAGATGGGGTACATAGAGATGACCAGGTAACCAATGCAAATGAATTTCTCTGATCCACTGATCTTGAAATTTCAGAACATTTCTCAATGAATGCTCATCTGAACTGTGCCTCATGGATGAACTTATATCCCTTGAGTTCGTGTTAGAGATGAACATTATAAATGTCAGCTATAAGATTCTCAACAAAAATTCAGCCATCTGCTCTCTGATGGAGATTGTTTCTTCTATCCTATGGCCACTTTATTTTCAGGAAGGGAAATGCTTGATATCACATTTGTCTATATGTTACTAAGAAGACATTCAAAGATTATGTAGACTCTTTTAAGAGCTTTTACGAATCTGTTGTCAGCAGCGACTGTTTATACGTTCAGTTATCTGTTATTTAATTGATAATTTCTCTACTGTGTGAAGAATCTTAATTTAATTGTTGTAAATAAATTTCTCTCACAAGATCTGGAAATGAAAGCACACAGAATGGCCTGCTTTAAGTTTTATTTTGAGGTAAAGAAACCAATGTAGATGTGTTTTCTTCTCATTGCTCGTGTTGTCCTAACGCTGCTATCACCCCTCATTCCCCTCAACAAAGACAAAAGTGCACGTGCGCACACACACACAAAGAAAGGGAAAAAGGAAAAAAGAAAAAAGAAAAAAAAAGTAAAGTAAAAACAAAAAGAAAATCAGGTAGCAGAACTGCATCCAGAGATGAAACTCTACTGTCAGTCGCCATAAGATTTTAGTATCAGTAAATGACTTAATATTTGTCTAGTTTGTTAATGGACCTCGTTTAGTATCAGACTCTATTGATGTCCAGTATCATGGCACTCAGAAGGGAGAACAGATTTGTGCTTGAAACAAAATTCAACACCATAAAGTTTCTTTCAAAAATTCCTCCAGAAGTATATATTTCTCTTTCCACTTCACTAAAGTCAAACGATCAATTAACATTCATTAAGACAGGGAAACATATAGCATCCAGGTGAAAGAGAGAAAAATCCATTGTGGATGTGTATATCATATTTTTTCCTAACCAATTGCTACTGTCTGTGCAAGTCCTGGATATTCCATCTAGCATACCCAGTTCCTTGCCTGTACAGGTTCCTCTCTGAAGTATGCTGAAAGAGGTGGGAAGAAAAAACTAGTTCTTTGTAGCATTTTTAAGAGTGCGAATTTTTATTACAAGCTGTTGTCTTTCACCTTCCACTTCTGCAAACCTTAAGCTCATCTCTGAGTACCTTTCTTGCATTTCTTTTAGATCTGCTTCCATTGATTCATTTTGTTGTTTCAGTTCTGCCATTTGGGATAGTAACCCAGCTATTTTATATGGATCACCGGGGCAGGAAACTGAAGCCTCTACTTCTGTCTGTGTATTTGCATTGAAATTGCTGCAGATGTTTAAGAGTCCATGAGAATAAGAAAATGACCTAAAAATAAATTCTAAGTCAAAGCATTAGAAAGAAATGCCTAGCCCTCATGTGAACTAAGCTTGCAGTCTTGTAGATGGTTTCTTACGAGGAATAAGATCGTAATTCGTTAATTACTCGAAGTATTACCTTCTGATTCTCTCATCGTGATCTTCATGTGAATAATTTGTGAATTGTTCACCCTGAACCATTTTCTCCAGCAAATAACCCCCGCTGATATTTAGACTCCTTGTGTTATCATTCTGAAACTTCTCGTTAGAATCACTTTCGTCCTGAATCATGTAAAGCATCAGACATAGCTAAAACTATAGAAGGAAATTAAATATTCAATTATGTTGAATCCTTGATGAACTGTGGTAGTGACTGTAGCAAATTAATGCACCAGTTAGTTTGCATTTTGCAACGTCTAATTGTTCACTTCTTAAGTATATATTGTTGATTTTCATGTATGTCTATGACTCTATATTGTGCACATTGAGAAAATTATCCTACAAGTGACAGAAAATGCATATGAAAGGGAAGAATATGTGTCTTCGCATGTGCGTCTGGACGCATCCTTTAGCAGATAAGAATTATGTTACAAGAAAATTAAAGATTTTAGCTCCTTTCAATTTGAAAATTGATCTGCAGGTTTGTGGTTGTGTAGACTATGACTGAGAGGATTATGTTTAAAATATTATTCGATTGTTAGAAGGTATTGCAATTATGAAAACTTTCTTCCATAAGAGTTCCTTTGTCTCTTCTTTCTTCCTTCCATTCAGTGATCTTCAATGTGCAAGTACTTTAAGTTTCTAATAACTATTAAAACTTAAAAGTATTGACTGATAAACAACTGCTTTATGAGATCTTTCTTTTATGTATGAGATATATGAGTAAACATGAAAAATGAATGGATAATTGTTAGACTAGAAATTGTTTAAACAAACTCATTATCTTTAGAAAATAAAGAAAGTTTATTAGTCGCCAAGAGATTAAACTTCTAACCTGTGCCGTTTCAAGTGTCAGAATTGACATTAGTAGATAATGTCCTTACTGGTTTTGTTTCTGAAGCTCCCTGTTCTTGTTGCTCCTCATTTTAAGTGGGTACATTCTTCAGTTTTATTTCTGCCTTAGGATAGCTCTAATCAGTGCAAGTCAGATAAAATTCAGCTCTCACTTGAAACTTGGGATATATGTTCATTTGTGGTAAAAAGTGTTTAATCCAAATTCTTTTTTCTTCGCTGGATTTCTTTTGTAACTGCCATTCATTTATCCAGCTCCTCTTGAGAATGATCATGAAATGGTCAGACAAAAACTCAATTAAACAAACTCATGGATCCACTTATTTAGCAGATGACGGAAAATTAAGAATTGGTCAAGTGCCTAAACTTTTAAAATAGTCCGTAATACCACAATTATTGAATTTATTCCATAATCCTCTCCTAAGTATTAGTGCCAAACAATTAAGGAATAGTTCAATTTTATTTTTCCTTTTCAAGTGCTGGAAACTAGCAAAGAAAATTTTGATTGATTCTAGGCTATGAACCTTGAAGTTGTAAAATGAACAGTCATAAAACGTGAGATTCACTCTTATATATTTGTGGTCAAAAGCATCCTAATCGTCTTATTTGTGCTTTTCAGCATGAAAGCAAACCGATGATATTTGTTTTAATGTAATACACAATTGAATTACCCCCTACCTCTAATTGTTGTCTGTTTGTGTGCGCACATGTTAATGTCGTGTTTGTGCTTTTACACAATACATAGTTAATTTGTCAGGAGAGAGGGCTTACATCAAAAGGTTTATAGTCCTCATGCAAGTCAGCAACTCTTTCAGAGCCATGAGCACCTTGGTAAGGACTTTTGCTTTCGCCTCTAGTATTTATCATTGGGATTCCTTCTGAAACCGTTAGGTTTGACTTTTTGTCTTTGAACCTTTTCTCTATGCTTGCAATATTGTCTGCTTCCTTCCTAAGGCTTCCTCTTAGTAACAGGACTTCTTTCCTCAGGTTCTCCTTTTCTAAGCTATCATCAGGCAACCCATTTTTCAAGTCATTATACTGTGCCGTGAGGGCTTCTACCTTTAAGGTTAGAGTTCTGACTGTGGCTTCTTGATCATCCTTTAAACGCCTCAAGGTATTTAGTTCCTCCAGTGAGCTTTTTGATTCCTCTTTTAACACAGAAAGTTCTTCGACAAGCACATTCCTCTCCAAGTTTCTTTTTTGTAGCATCAGTTCCATGTCTTTTCTTGACGTCCTTATTTCTTGTATCTCAGCTACCAGCTTTTCCTTCTGTTCTATTTCTGCAAGAAGAAGACTTTTCTCTCTTGAGAGCTGCTCCATCTCAGCTATAAGTATTGAATTTTCTTCCCTGAAAGCCTTTTGTCGTGCTTCATCAGATTTCCGTAAATCATCAAGCTCCTTCCTTTTATCTCTAAGTTCAAGATGTAGCTCTTCTGCTTCTTTTGTTTTGAAGTCTACAAGGCTAAGAAGCAGCTGACATTTTACATGATGTTGGCTCTGCAAAGATGAAAGTTCCTCAACATTTTTCTCCAACAGTGCTTCCATACGGCATTTCTCCATACGCAATGCTCTTGATTCCTCTAGTGTGTTCATTACCAGATCCTCATTTGCACAAAATGTGGTTGATATTTGAGATGATAGCCTCTTAAATTCCTCCTGAAGCTGTTTGACAGTGCTAGCATTTTTCCACCTAGTCTTTCTCAATTCTCCCTCTGCCTTTATGGCCCTTTGCTCTTGCTCAACTTTGGCCTGTATTACATTTGCTAGATTAGCTTCATAAGCCTCAGCTTGTTTCTCAAGTTCTTTTTCCAGGGTCTCAATGTGAGACTCAAGATCATTTATGATGGCTAAATGCGCGGAACAATCATACTGCATCCTTAGCTGTTCCCGCAGCTGGGTCTGCTCAAGTCGAGATGAGATGTCATGATTTTCTTGTTTCAAAATCTCATAATCCAATGCAAGCTGTTCTATTTGAATCTCTAGGTCTTCATGGTCTTTCTTATACAATTCTAGTTCACTGTTCAGGTTTAAAATCTTCTGCTCTTGACAATATGCTAGTTTCATATCATTACGCTCCTTAATTAGAATATCCAGTTCATATTGTTCTTCCTCATGGTCTGAAGTAGTTTGAAAGGACTCTGGCTTGACTTCCAAATTCCTCGAATGAGATAAATGATTTTGGCATCCCAGTCCTTGGGAATCCTCATGATCACTGGACTTTTCCATATTTTTCTGTTCCAGCAGTCCCTCAAGATCTCTGACAGCAAATATTAGCTCAGAATTTGATTCCTGTGTCTTCTGCAATTGTAGCTGAAGATTGGAATTCAAGTTTTTCTCATGATCCAACTCTTTTTTCATTTCTTCTAGCATTGACCATGGATCTTTGGCCCCAAACTGCATCATAGCTGAGACATTCTCATCATCAGCTGCTCTTTTCTTGGAGGCCTTAAGTTCATCAACTTCTTTTCTAAGTGCATCTCTTTCCTCTTTTAGGCTACTTAATTCCCTCAAAAAATCTTGTCCTCGCCTGCGCTCCTTCACGACTTGCTTTCGAAGCGTCTGAAGTTCCAGCTCTGATAATTCTAACTGCCTAGCCAAAACATCGCAATCACTTTTCTGTTTCTCAAGAATTCTACCACTCTCTTCTGAACTATTTGTCAATCCAGCAGTACTTCCATTAATTGCTAAAGCCAGAGGCCAACCAATATTTCGAGGAGGAGTACTGCTGCTAAGAGGTGATAGCATGCTTGCATTTCCCTGATGGGCAATATTATTCTTGATTCCATTCCCTTTTGGTGTATGTTGTCCTGAACTGCTTTCTGAACCTGAAACTGATATACCATCCGAGCTGCTAGACTTTCTGAGGTTGCCACTTAAATCGTCATGTAGAGGCATATTTATGGCAGAATGGAACTTAATCAGTGCCTTATTGTTTATGAATGATCCTTCCTGCTAAATATTGAAGATGGTTTGTAATTAGTTCTAGGATTTATATTCAAGTTGCTCAATCTCACCTATTTCAGAATTCTTGTAGAATAGCATATAAGGTATCTATTCTTTGATGCAAATTATATTTGTAGATCATATCAATGTTATCACTAACTGTCACTTATACGATAGCAGTGATGGCCAGACATGTTTTGTTAGAGGATTTGTCATTGTCCGAACGTATTTGTGGTTCTTGTTTACTTTTTCATTCATAGTGCTAATAAAAGAAGTTTCAAGACTGCTTATTTATTCAATAGAGTAAGATATGAGTTTGTTAATTCAGGATGAGCTGTTTAGGGAGCCTTGTTTCTTATTTTTTGCTTGGATTCTGATAGTAATTAACCTAATGCGATAACACTTAGCAGAACTCAATGGAAGAATAGGTTCCTATAGCCAACCCCAAAATTTTGAGATAAAGGGTTTGTTGTCTTTGTCATTGCTGTACCATTTTAATTTTTGGTTCTTTTCTTTTGTATTTGTCTGTTTGGAGGATAAGGAGGATAACGTGTCACGAATGTGATGCTAAGTTGCTAAGGAACTATCACTCATCATCATGGTCGTTGAGTATAAATTTCTCCGTATTGCTGGAGGGTTAAAACTTGAGAGGCACCTCTCCAGTACTACGTGTCTGGAGAATAGCTGTAAAGTTAAACGACATTATTATTAGACATCTACATGATCTGATGTTTGTCGCGGATCAAAATGTTTGGCAATTAGGAAATATGTCCATAGTAAAAGTGCAATGGTATAGATGAGATATGTAAGAAGTCAAAAGTAGCTTGCATTAAGGATAGGAGTTGGTATTATTTTCTGAAATGGTTCCGACATGTGAAATATAATCTCTTGAGTATGCTAGTTGTGATAAATGATTAGAAGATAGGCTTGGACTTGCAGTGAACCTAAACAAGCATGGATTGGGGCAGTCAAAAAGTTATGTTACTTGTTGATGCAACATAGTAGACGGTTCTCAAACAAGTTAGTGAAGTTGAATGAACAAAAGGACTGACCCTGAGACAAGGCATGTTGTTTATATCTTAAATTACTAAAAATGATCCATGATACCATCTGTTCATCAGATTGAATTTACTTGGACCCTCGACCTCAAGCCTATTTCTGATTCATGGTCTTTCTGGCATTTTTTCTCAAGCATATTGATTGGAAGCAAAAAATATGAGATTTAGAATGTGTGATTCTTGTTACGCAACCTACTGAGTATCTGCTATAAGAAGTTAAACAAAGATTTCTATGAATATCTTATTTGAAAGGTACTCGGCATTACTTCAGCATTTGCACCGCTGGCTGGTATGCTACTTTCTTCAAACTCTGGATCGCTTAACTGGCTCCTCAATGTCCTTCGCTGCTTATTCCCAGTTGCACCTCTGTTTTCAGATGTTTCTATCTGCGTTTCTCCATTTTCAGGAACTTCCCTGAAGATTGAATGAAACAATTAGAATGATCGGCTATTAAAAAAAAATTTAATGGCCATAAACGTAGGCATCTTTGTCCATTGTTATCCTTAGCTAGTAAACATTACCTTCCTTCAGCATCACCCTGCACTCTCTGTATGATAACCTGCCAGTTGAAATTGATAATCAGAAAATGTACAATTTACTCTCAAATGAAGTAGATTTTTGTTGTATTATAATATTAGTTATTTTTATTAATTTTTATATTATGACAATATTGTTTTTTTCTTGCAGGACATAATATCAGTTTCTGGGAGGGATGGAGAGCAGGTGGGCACCTATGATTCCTATTAATGCACATCAATACAGAACATGGGGTTTCAAACGCCATCAATTCAAAAAGGAAATAAAAATAAAAACTCACATGCAGGGTGGCTCGATTGTCTGAATCTTGGAGCTGGAGAGAAACCGAGGTAGGCTTATACACCACCGCGTAATCCGCTAAATTAATGTTGGTTTCTCCTAACACCCCAGATTTCGCCGATCCCTTCAATAAAAAAAAAAATACTAACAAAACTCAATAACCTGTTTCAATCAAAATAAGCCAAATGTTAAATTGCAGAGTGATCCACCATACGTACAGTTGCTGAAACAATAAACTGGTAGATTTTGCTACCGATCTTTCCATTTTTTTGGTCCAGGTTGAGCTTCACGGTCTCATATATTGGATTCAACCAGTGACACTCTCCATTGACAACTGCGGTCTTCTCCGATCTCAGGCTCGGCTTTCCGGCGTCCGCAGGGACCAAAGTTACCACCATTGCCTCCCATCCACCGACAGGCACCTGAGGGAATGGCAAGGTAAATATCCTTTATTCACCAAAGTTACGTATATTATTGAACTATGGGTACCTGGGTTGCTTTGAACTGGAATTTGAACACAGCTTTGATCTTGTTCTTCTCGGCCCTCCATCTCCCTGCCTTGAACATCTCTGAGATCTAACCTTCAGTCCACCATCATTTCCTCCTATACTATTTCCTCGGCATTATAGAGGATAGAGAGCACGAAGGTAGCAGATCTCTCCCTCTCACTGTGGAGAGCAGAGGCAGTGTTTTTAATTAAGAAGCTTCTCTGCAATAATTTGAGCATAAAATAAGACATAATTTTAGATTATTGAAAGATATGGTGGGGTCTGCTGGTGACATTGATATTAAATTTAGGAGTTGGTGGGTTTGCTTGAGAGTCACAGCAAAGGAGAAGGGAAGGGAAGGGAAGGGAAGGGTATTTGGATGCCCTTGGGAATCCCTGTTCCCTTTTGAATTTATATGTTAGCTCGGTTCTGCTGAGGGGGCAAAAAAAATAAAAATAAAAAAAGGGACTAACGTGGCCTCTTGCTTTTGTGCATGTGGGTTTGGGTTCTAGCCCTTTGAACTGATTATTAAAACAACAGGCCATGGATGATGATAATGATGGTGATGATGATCATCATAGCCATTGATACAGTACAACAAAACACGGTTTTGGAGTGGCATTGGGTAGCAAGTTTCCCCTGTATGTGAGTCCTGTGTCGGTTTCTT